TGGGGTCACGGTAATGTTGTGAACTACGCTGTCCCTGCGAAGCATTTGTTCTTGCAGCCACCTGGGCATATGTGCCTTGCGAATTCGATGAATCACAGTCCCCCAAATTGTTCCTGTTAAAAGCGTCAAATCTATTAGAAGTGGGAAACATAAAGAGGTTATCAGAGCTTGAACCGACCGGTATGGAAGAGGAGTCTGTACTAATAGCGGGGGAGGAGGGAGAGTTAAGCCTCTTTTTGGCCTCTATGAGCGGGATATTTTGAGCCGCAGAAAGGGTGAGAATTTTCTTCTGCTTTTCTAAGAGCGGGCATCTGGGGTCCACTGGAAGGTGCTCACCAGAGCAGTTAATACAACACGGGGTGTTTTCCTTGAGCGGGCATGTGCCCTCATTGTCGTGAGGAGCATTGCCACAGAAGATACACCGAGGCTGGCTGCGGCATGCCGCACTGACATGGCCGTTTCTATAGCACGAGTAGCAAACTCTGGCTTTTGGTATATACGGATATACCACATGTCTGGACCAAAAAAGAAAAGCGTGAGAAGGGAGCGATTGCCCCGCAAATTTAACGCAGATGGTGCGAGAGGGCACGTATTGAGTTATACCATTAACAGTGGATTTTCTATTCAAGCGATGCACACTGATGATCTTGTGGTTCTGATTTGTAGTTAAAGAAGCTTTAATTTCCGCTACATCAAACTCTTGAGGGATGTCTCTGATAATGCCTGTTCTTAAAACCCTGTAATTAGGGATGACAGCTTTGAGGTTAAAGTTTGCCAAGTCCGGATTCGAAGCTAGCTTATTTGCAGCCGCAGCCGTTTTACACTCTACTAGAATTTTGCCTGTGCCAAGGCGTTTCATCTCTATTATATCCGAAGAGTTCATAACCTTACCCACGTTCGAAGATATTTTAATCGGGTGGGGCATGTTGTTTCTATTATTGCATAAAGAGTGAACATGAACAATGTATGGAGGAAGGTCTGATGTTACGTATGCGTTTGCCTTCTCCTCCACTCTACGAGATTTAGTTTTACCTGGATTGTCGTTGCAGATTTCCTCTGATAGGCCTACGTCGTTGTCACTTGCGTCGGCAGAGCGAGAGAGCAAACCTTTTGATGGGGCAAGAAAGGCCTCCGTGTCACTAAAGGAACGTTTGTTGCCCTTCTTTCCACCGGGCAGGATCTTGGTCCCTCGCTCACACGAGGTCGAGGGTTCTTCATTCAAGCAAATCATATCTTCGTTCGCATTATGATTTGCCACTGGGCGATGGAGCCCCGTGCTTGGCCTGTGTAAAAAGTCGTTAACTTTATCCGGAACTATAACGAATGCCGCGTTTGCATCCACAGAGGGGGGGAGGGAGGGGGGAATAGGAGAAAGGGCATCAGAAAGCTGAGAAGAGGGAGAGTGAGGGGATAATGCCGAAGGGGAAAGAATTTGAGATACGGCCAAATTTCCCTCGAATGAACTAAAGTGTTCTAGCGGAACTGAAAGAGGCTGAATCGTCGAGAAGGGATGCTGGCCGGGGCCAGGGGCCGAGCATGGCGGACCTCTCGGCCCTCCCCCCCGGTCCACCGAGCACGAGGCCGTAGCCTCGGACATACCGGAATGCCCAAAACAAACCGACACAATGGCTAAAAGACTTCGCGTGCAGAGATAGAAAAGCACTGGGTTATAACCAGACACCGCACTACACGTAGTACTTGACAAAAAGGCGTAAAACTAACAATGCCCGGGATCGCATAAAAGAACACGTCCGAACGGCTTGCAGCGCCACACGCGAATCTACGATACGGTGTCGCTGTGCTTGCGTCAAAGTGACAGGCGCGGTGTATATGATAATCAGATTAGATTCGCACTGACTGGATTGTTGATCGGGATTCGGGCACGAACAGTGCGTATATGAGAGGGCGGGCCGTGTGTGTTCGGCCGAGTTTCCATCAAACCACTAAATTGGATATACTATAGAGGGCTATTCTATCAGTAATGAGTTGAAGCACAGTACCACGTAAAGAATCAGGGAGGATACCTAAGATATTATACTTACCCGCGGAAAAATCCTTTGCTGCTTTGACTGAAATTAAAATTAACCTAGAAATTGGAAACGTAATTGCGTTACGCGTTGAGTTCTTTCTTGGTGACGGAAATTGGGGGTTTCTTTTTCTTTTTACTTAATATTATTGTTGTTTTGATACGGACTGGCGTTATCATCATTATTAGTTCGTAGGTTTAGAGTATATAATTAGTGTTTTTCTTTTTCTTTTGACTTTATAGTTAGGATCGTTGATACTTATTGTTATTCATCGTTATTATTGGTGCGTCCAAGCGATTAGTAATTAGGCTAAATTGTTAAAAGCGTTGATGGCTAAGGTGTTTATAGTAGCTTTAAGTTTTTAGCTTGGTTCCCCAGAGCAAGTGTGCGTGCTCTTGGATAAGGTGTAGCTTAGTTAAAAGTGCGGGATTTGTCTGTTGAATCGAGAGGAGTACTACTCCTCATTCAGACACAAGTACTCAGAAACGAAGAAGTGCGGTAACGAATTAATCGTTGACCTGGTGTTACCCCCAACAGTGCTGCGCCTCGGGAAGGCGTACAATGCTTTTTCTGTCGGAGGGAGACCCAGGAGAGTTACCATCAACAATGAACCACAAAAAATATGGAATGTCGACCCAAAAGGAAAAAACCCCCCCAGGGATTCGGAGCCCTGGGGAACGGCGCGCGGGGGAGTCTTGTCCTTCTCCCCCCGTGTCGACAACAAGCGCTGGGAGTGGGGCGGGGGCTAAGACGAGGCCCTCGCTCAAAGCTGCGATTGTCAGCATTGAGAAGGTGGATATTGACAAGTATAAACCTGGAGGAAGGGCAGGTGTGGCGAGCGATTTTTTCTCTCCGCCCTCAACGCCCGAGAGATTCGAAGAGGCGTTGTCAGTAACCCCCGTGGGGACACGAAGGACTAGGAGACATACGGCTGGGGACGTGGAATACGTATCTACTTACCAATCGGACGAACAATCCAGGCCAGGAACACCCGTTGACGGGGACTTGGAGATCGTCTCAGTGGAGGCTGGTACGGGCAGTGAGATGCGATCGGCCTCTTCGGACTCGTCCGGGAGTATCAGACCGCCTCCTACAAAAAAGGGACATAAGAGAAAGAAAGCCTTCGAGTCACCGGAGACACCCGACCAGATGGAAACCCCACAAGTAATCTACTCGGATGCCCAAAGAAAGGAGCTAAACAGGAGGATGGAAAACATCGACTCCCTCACTTCGTCGGAAATGGCGGCCCTTGCCTCGGAGTGGCTGGGGGAAGCGGAAGAGTGCCGTAAGAAGTCCACTAACATAAAGGGCTCTTTTACGAGTAAAATGAAGCTTAACATGGGTTCCGCGACGGAAATCATAAAGAAGCTGGCAACTAGGGCATCGCAGGAGGGAGATGTGGGATTCTTAAGGGCAAGATTCCTTGAAATGCAATCGGAGATAAATGGCCTCAAGGAGGAGAACGAAAGGCTAAAACTCCAGATCGAGGAAATCAACTGTGGGATGAACGCAAGACCAGGCCCGAGTAGGGAGACGAACATCCCACAAGAAACGGGCTTGGGACAAATGGATACCTCTCCAGGCCCCCTCCCCGATACGGGATCGGAGGAGAATAGAAATCGGGTAATAACGGAGTTGCCGCTACCCAAGAGGGAAGCACGCGCGACGCGAAGTGGCGGAGCGCCAGGATATCCGACGGGCAAACCGATGGGATTACCAGAAGAGGATTTCTTCGAGAGGCTGAGTCTAACCATCAGTAATGCAGTGGTAAGTGCGCTCCGAACGCAACCTGAAAGAGGGCCCATAAACCGTGGTGGGCTCTACGACGGGGAAGGTGAGGGCGTGTCCTCGGCGGCGGCCGAGTCACGTAATAACTTCGTATAGCATACAACTGAGTCGACAAGGCAC